GCCTGCAGTGGGAGGCATGCTGTGGGCAACAACATTCCCACCGATACATCCCACAAGCACCCAAACCGAAACTATGGCAAACATATATGGTGGTAGCACCTGGAGCAGGCTGTAAATAGCATTCCAGTCCGTAGCTCTGATGGCAATCCTAATTCCTGCCCTGAAGAAGCAGACCAATATGAGAATCTATTATATCAGTCATCAATTACACAAACTTGTTTCAGGAACGAGATATACATGTGACCCTGGCCTGCAGCATGTGGACAAGGCACTCTGTTGTTTCAAGAAAAGAGGTGAAGACTCCACAAATATAGAAGACCTTGCCATGGGAACACAATGGCAGAACGGTAAAACCACTGCTCATTATCAAACTATCAGGATATAGTCACCAAAGCTCCATCAAACAGACGTGATTTGAGCACATAGAAGGGCCAGCTTTTGACCTGCCAATTATTTTCCAGTTTACAGATTGGACAAAGATAAGAATTTATTTTTTTTATTTGCCTGATATCTTTATTTGATGGGAGTGTAACAAAATAATGCAACTACAAAAATCCACAAAATCATGTAATTATAATTTTTTTAATAAATCAAATACATTGTTAGTAATGTGTTACTAAAAGAAAAATCTTTTTAGAAAAATGTCTCTGTGAAATTTGACATTATTGAATGTGATTGAAACTAGAAAATCAGTATTGGCACCCATGACAACCATTCTGTTTCAAGGTGAGGTACCGGTAGTTAGGTGGCTAGAACTGAGGATTGATTAAAAGTTCAGCATTCCAAGAGATAAATCCTGTTGGAATGGTAAATTCTTCGCTTTCTGAAGGCTGGAAACTTGCTTATTTCTTTTGTTGTTTATCATGTCATATCAGTTTAGATGTCAAATTAACAAGAACTGAAACAAGTGTGCAATGATGTGCAAAGGAATAGTGACAACATCACCAAATCTTTTCCACATTTTAAAGACTAGTAGTGTGCAAATGGATGACAGCCACTAACATCCCTCCAATAATCAGTAAAGTACATATCACTACAACTGTGTTAACATCAAATAATCAGCTGACCCAGCCGTCTCGAGCCAATACAATTAACACATACCATTCATTTGTGTAGAAAACACGTATCACTTCAGCCCTTGGGCTAATTGTTTGGAATAAAAATGAACACGATGAACAATGTTTTGACAGTGGTTAGCATTAATCTATACCTGGCACATTTTACATAACAAATTTCCTTTTTATAAGAAACAAATATATTTAGCAGTGACAGGATAGTGTCTTATACTAGCATGTTAAATCAACAGATCTACAATGCTTTTCTCTCTGCTGGCAAAACTAACCACAGGCTCATATTGCTAAGGACAACACACGGAAGGAAACTTAATTGTCTGGTGATCCATAGTGAACACTTGTGGTAATCTACAATATAAAGTCAACTTTGACGTTACCTCTCAATATGAGATTTTAAACCTTTCTTTCTACTAATATAACTTATCAAATATTGCCTTCTTCAACATACCTGTTTCAAACATGTTTATAGTATTTATTCATCATTTTCTGGAGCACATCACCTTTAAGACCATATGAAATAAATGGATGTCAATTGCCTGTATAAATGATACAAGTGCTGGCAATGGTACGCTAGGCAAGCTTCATCTTCACCAGTCCATCAGTGTGACAGGAGATGTCTTTTATACACTGTAAATAAGCATCCACATAGACAATCACATAAACTGACTAAAGAAACTTTGCTCAAGTAACTAAAAAGTCAACATTTTGTCTTAGATTCACAATATTTACCAACATCTTCAACATGAGCGTTGTATTTGATATTTTCAAACCAAGCCTGTTTTGACAAACATTCATGCATAATATACAATAGATAAATTTCATTAGAACTGTTCTCTGTAGGCAAATCATGAAATGGCCTATAAACCATTGTCGCAATTCCTTCCCAAAGAGGGATTTTCTAAGTCTGGCTTCACTAAGGGGATTGTAACGTCGTGGCCATCCCTCACAGATACACGTTGATTATTGCAAGGTTCAACCAATAAGTTTCAAGCAATCCTAATGACAAAGGCAAAATAGAGTGGACCTACAACCATTTCCCTGCCACCACCAATTGTATTATTAGATTATCTTGTTGGAATGGATCAGCAAGTGCCAACAATAGCGACCAGCGATATTCCAAATGTTATTGACCAGGGATAAGTCCATGGTATGGCGTGATGTGATCATGGAGCTGAGAGGCAGCACTGGATGTCAGGTTCACAAATGTTGTGGTGCATCTCCAAGATCCTACTTCGGGGCAAGAGAGAACTAACAATGATCAGTGGGATAGGTCCACTATTCTGGTCACCCGCTTCATTCAACAAGTCCCGATAATCAACTTCAACACCATGGTAACATGTGATGGACAAGGAGTAGTTGTTTTGTCATCTAAATGTTACACATACTGAATAAAAGATTTTGTCATTAATATCAAACTTATTGGGAACTTGTGTGTTATCTTTCACTTGATTATAATTTGAACATTTCTAACGAACGTAACTGCTTTTAACAGTGTTTAAAACAAATTATATGTCTCAGCCTCCTTGGTGTCTTAGTCAAGAGGAACATAAAGACATGTCTTTTTTACTTTCAACATATATAATATAGATTTTAATAATTTTCTGTCATCATTATGAATTTACACTAATACTTTTTAGCAACAAAGAAAAAGAAAAAAAAGGAAAAATTTAATAAAAATCAGTTAAATATTATTTAACACAAGTATGATCTTGCTATTTCATTTACTCAGAAACCTGGCACAACAGCACATGAGCACCACATCAGCAGTTTCAACCCCAGATCTGACCACCATTATATGTGAACTGCTCTAAACGCATATACCATAATCACCACCCCAGATGCTTACACCATGCATATGGAAGTCATCCTTTTTCTGATAAAGAGATATTCAAGATAATATGAAATGTGACCAAAACTTCAGTTTTAGGAGGCAGAACTCATAAAGATTACAAACAGATGGTCAAGAAGATGTCAGAATACTGAAGAAGGGCACTCAGTGCATACAGTTCCATATATCAAAGAGGAGTTCAACAGTCTGCTGCCCACTTCCTCCTGGTCCAGGCTATGTCTATGTGATCAAGGAAATCAGTAACTGTGAGATTGATCTTGTCATCAAATATTTGTGATCAGACTTACAAAGTAGACATTTTTTAATTCAACTTGCATTGGATGCCTGTATATTCAGGCTCAATTTAGGTCAACAGACCATTAACTCTACTCCTGGATGTACAAGTAACAAGTACTGGTAGTCCATATGGCCTTCAGACAAGTGTGTAGGAGGCCATACATGCCAATTCACAACCTACCTCCAACCTACATTCACAACAATACTTCTCATTCTACAACAGTCACTGGCAGACTGTGACCTTCAGACAAGTGTGTAGGAGGCAAACTCACAACCTACCTGTAACACGTTCAATAGACAGATGATCTCTGTTCAGAGATGTTGGTTCAAAAAGGCGATCATACCCAAACATACTTGAGTGCAAATGCAAACCACATGTTTCACACAATATTTCGTAAACTATGAGTCACACGTTCATAAGCATCAAAGGCACAAACACACTGATGTACATGCACTTCAGTTTCCTAAACAGGTTTAAAAGACAACGGTACTAAAGTTGAACCTTCTTGACATGGCAAGACCAAGGCTTTCAGAAAATGCATGTGTGCAAGTTTTTGTCCTCTTGCAACATCCACTTGTGAGGAGGTATGTGGCTACTGGTGAAGCAAAGGATTGTCCAAGAACTGGAACACTGAGGATGGGATAGCGATGAGTCCTAATTTGTCTGATCAAAGCACTCCCATGATCCATGCCGAAGAACTGGGCAAGCAATGGAAAGTGAGAGGCTGACTCTCCATCAGTATCATCATCAGGGGGCTTGGGACTTCCGGTCTGAGGGCATCTCATCTGATCTGATATCCCTTCCTCACAGACCAGCACAAGCAGGAACAGCTGACTCTCTGCCAGTATCATCATCAGGGGGCTTGGGACTTCCGTTCTGAGGGCATCTGATCTGATCTGATGTCCCTTCCCTCACAGACCAGCACGAGCAGGAACAGCTGACTCTCTGCCAGTATCATCATCAGGAGGCTTAGGGCTGCCGGTCTGAGGGAGCATCATCTGATAAGATTTCCCTTCCTCACAGACCGGCACGAGCAGGAACAGCTGACTCTCTGCCAGTATCATCATCAGGGGGCTTGGGACTTCCGGTCTGAGGGCATCTCATCTGATCTGATTTCCCTTCCTCACAGACCAGCACAAGCAGGAACAGCTGACTCTCTGCCAGTATCTTCATCAGGAGGCTTAGGGCTGCCGGTCTGAGGGAGCATCATCTGATAAGATTTCCCTTCCTCACAGACCGGCACAGGAACAGCTGGCGGGGTCAAGTTGGAGCTAGAGGTCAAAATCTGCAGGAATTGATGCAGGTAATCTATGAGAAATGGCAGAGGATTCCGAAGTTGAGAATTCAATGCTTGGTTGCCAGTATGAAAAGCCTGGGAGATGTTATCCGTACAAGGGGTGCCTACACCAGGTACTGAAGTGGTCGCCAGAGGTGGTTCATACAATCACAACACTCATTCTATGATAACTGTGAAACAATTGGTGTGGTAGTCATGGTGACCATTCTTTCCAGGATGGTTGATGTTTATGTTCTTGTGCATTGAACTCAAATTCCAAGTGAATTATAACCAACTGTCAATTTTCTTTTTATCAGAGTAAAATATGCTACAGTTACCATTTAAAAACACAAAATGTCATTGTCAAAGCAGAAACACAACATGCAGTATTTCATACTTATCAGATCAATATATGCGGGTGATGCAGGATTAATCCCAACATGTATACTTCTGACTCTACTGGAATCAAGCACTGGCACAACATGTCCTTCAGAAAAGTGTGTAGGAAGGTCACTCTCTACCTACCTGTAATACTCTCAATAGACAGATGATCTATGTTCGGAGATGTTCTGCAACTTGATATTTCTCCACTCAGCCAGACATTCAAGCAGGTTTCCATCCCATGACATCCGATCCATGTGCTTCCTGACAGGCAAGTGAAGAAACAGTTTACACAGAAAGATACGTGTAGGTTTTCTCTGCCCACATAGAATTTAGTATCGAGATTAAAAAAAATATTTCAACAATAAAGTTTTTGTTATGTCACACTTTGTTTAAAAGTGGCATAATCACCTTGAAACAAGAACTAATTTTCATTAAAAAAAACTAAAGAAGGCAGCAATGAAGACACTGAAACAACTGTGCCAACCAGATTATACTGATATATCATGTAGGATTACACAACTGGATTATACTGATACCTCATGTAGGATTATACAACTGGATTATATCGATACATCATGTAGGAACATTATAAAGTGGACAGATCTCATAACTTTTTTTCACAATATATTATGGTTATGATTTTACACCTAACTAACAGCATGTGAAACTGAAAACTGAAAGGTGAGGAAAAGAATTTGGTAAAACATTCCTTAACACACGGATTTACCTCCTATATACATATATCTGAACCCTAATTTTCCCAGATAATTGAAAAGCAGTTGTGACTGCATGACATGAAAGACTCGCACAATATTATAACATCAACCTGTACTAAAGTTACAACAAGGGCGTCATTAGTTACATCATCACAGACCTTTATGTTATTCCCACATCTGAACATGTAATTGCTGTTATTACAAATACAGTCCCTTTGTTGGAGGTGTTTAGCTGACCCCTTCCGGTCCTATGTCACTCTTACCCGCCAATAAACATTGCTATTCAATACCTCATCATTAGCTGAGTGAATGAGTTTAGTTTAATGCTGCTTTTAGCAATATTCCAGAAAAAAATGAGCTTCACACATTGTACGTGTGGGAATCGAACCCAGGTCTTTGGCATGACAAGCGAACGGTTTAACCACTAGGCTACCCCATCGCTCCATATCAAATATAACTCACATTATATCTACCTGAAACATTGCCAAGTTCAACAAAAAAATTCAATATGTGAAGTCGATAGTGTTGTTTACAGTATACATTGAACATTATCAAATTATTCACTTTCAAATCAATCTTTCTCCCTTATTCCACCATTCCTGGATCAATACAAGCTTTGAAAGCTTAGTGAAAGAACCTTTGCAGATGCAACACCAAGAAGAAAGTTTCTTTTCCTTTCAGGACACCAAAGATTTTGCAGCCATTTTCCCTTTGAGACAGATATTTTAGTCAGTTACATGTACACTCTAATTGCTTGGTGGCACCAGCTTTCAGCAAGTAGAGCCTGAGTGAAGCTTTCATATCATGAAGCAACTGGACTGAACTACTGAAGACAAGTACCATACAAGGTTTGCTGGTGGACTTCCGTTAACCTTGTAACAACTGTGCAGTTTACACTGATCTGAAAATCTATTGATGCAGTATGATGCATGCTGTATTTGTTGGTGTGTTGTTTGTTTACTGTCACACTCAGCAAGTTAGTGCAACTGCGCTACAATGACATGCATAATCTAAATCAGCGAGCCTGACAACAGTCTTCCAGAACAAGCATGGGTTGCTGGAGACCACTTACATCCCAGATCTTCTCAAGTTCAGGATACGTCATCGGACACCAAAAGTCAAACACAAAACACAAGTGACTATGCGTAAATCATATTTTAAGAAAACATGTTTCCACCCTGGTTAAGTCCCACTTACAATATCAATCCAGTATTTAGTTGAACCCAACTGGAGCACTACAACTGATTCCAAACAGCAATGAATGCCACTTTACAAAACCTTTCATGAACAATTAGATCCCAGAGCTACAACAACATGCTCTTTCACACGTAATATCATAAACATGATGGTACCTGATATTGACCAAACAGCCAGATAACTCATCACATAATTAGGGTTAATTTCTGTGACAAAGATAAGAGGCGAGCATCTCACTTCACATCAAATTCATCCTAAAAATACCAAGAAACATTTTTCAATCAATCTCATTTCAACTGGTGTGGAACTTTTTTCAATAAGAGGTTATATACTCTTAATGACAAACAAAACAACAATCTTTCATGTTCAGCAATTTAAGCCTTGCAGCCGACATGTTGTCGCCAAGTTTATTGACTGTCGATTACAATGTGATAATAACTAATTTAGACATGATCAATATCCTCTCTGAGGGAAGTCGCACAGAAAATGGCCAGGTCAACAATGATATTATCTTAGCAAGATTGCTGCAATGTTTCGTAATGCAAAGCATATGGGAAAACCATTTCCATGTTGATATAAAAGACTGAGGGAAATCTGAATAATTTGATGGCCTGAATATTGCCATGAGGAGACAGTCTACGCCAACTATGCCTTAAAGGTCGTGGGTTCAGATTCATCAATGTTCGGTGCAAATTGGAAATTTTTGCTTTTCCTTTGAACTTGTGAGAGTGTCATGTTTTTATTTTTGGTAGAAATGGACACTGAGATTAATGATAATCTTTCTGAAATCCAAGACTAAAATTTAAAAATAAATGTTCATTTCCATCAATATCTGTGCCACCATCAAGACCAATTCTTTTCCAGACTTTAAGTCTCATCCTGCATGAATATGATTTTTGCAGAACCATCACACTGACTTACCCACAATTACGGGTATAATATTGGTGAAAACACACGGCAAATTTGGGATTCATTCCATGACCAGCCAAGCAAAGCAAGACCTTAATCCACAGAGCCAACCATTCTTGAAATAGATGACTCAGATGGGTCAGCAGATAAAACTATTGAATTTATGAACAAAAATGTCTTAATGCTGGAAATTTAGGCATAAAAATATTCACAATATCAATTTTCATCAAATAACTTAATGATATTATATGAACATTAAGTTAAAGCCTGTAATGGTACACTGACCACATACCAGAACCTTTGACAAAGAATCCTTTTAAGCAGCAGAAGACTAGAACAAGTCTTCAACAGAAGTTCTAATGTAGATTGTGGAAGCTAATATGGAATGGTGTAGTACCAGGGATGGAAATGTTGCTGCTATAGAGATATAAGTTGTGGGCATATCATGGCAGGTATACTGTCTGTTGTACCTTCTGTGTTACCATGTACCATTAGTCATCAGGCGAGGTCTGAAATCAAACAGGACCATTTCAGCCAATCCACATGGTGTCTGAGTGTTCATGTGCATAGAATAATAAAGTTTCAGACTCAGAGATCATTTCTTTGGGTTTTGTCTCTCCCTTACCAGCAGCCTCAATTGGCTCAAACTGAACTTCTGCAATTTAGAAAGATTTCTTACCATCACTGAATCTTGCATTCTTGATTAATATGAGAAAATCTCTACAATAAGGCTGAGATTTCAAATATCTGTTGAGCCTAATGTTCTCCAAAGTTAATGTCTTGTATTGTTCACCTGTGTGGGTTATCCATGACATCCATGTAGAAGCCAATATCAGTCAAAGCCAATCCTTTGAAATTTTTCTTGCACCTTTTCTGCCAGAATTTTTAAATAGTTTTGCTGACACATTAATAATCCTTTTAGTGTTATCTGGGATCAGTTTAGATTGTCTTGACTGTAATTTCTTCCTCAGAATGCAAAACAAAGTGTTTGGTGGCAAATTTTGTTTCTAGGTCAGCTCCAGCAGACGTTTATTTGTTTACTTCTGATCTCAAAATGTTTTTCTTAAGAGATGCGAACCCTATAACTCAGTAAGAAGTAAAATACCAGAGTTAGGCAAATATGTCATTGTCAAGGCAGCTGGGTACAATGTTTCCAGTTATATCCATTGATAGCATGGTACACAGATTCTTGTCAAAACGGCTTTGTCCAATAAGAATACACACTGTACAGTGTTTTACATGTAAGGTAAGATAAACCCAGAAAATAGATGTACCATGACACATATATACTTAAAATACAGATGAAGACCTACGAGACAGATCTACCCAGACCACAAATGTACCCAGAACATGGATACCCCCAGAACACAGATGTACCCACAACACAGATACCCCAGAACACAGATGTACCCACAACACGGATACCCCCAGAACACAGATGTACCCACAACACAGATGTACCCACAACACAGATATACCCACAACACAGATGTACCCACAACACGGATACCCCCACAACACAGATGTACCCACAACACGGATACCCCCAGAACACAGATGTACCCACAACACAGATGTACCCACAACACAGATGTACACACAACACAGATGTACACACAACACGGAAACCCCCAGAACACAGATGTTCCCACAACACAGATGTACCCACAACACGGATACCCCCAGAACACAGATGTACCCAAAACACGGATACCCCCAGAACACAGATGTACCCACAACACGGATATCCCCAGAACACAGATGTACCCACAACACAGATACCCCCAGAACACAGATGTACCCACAACACAGATGTACCCACAACACGGATACCCCCAGAACACAGATGTTCCCACAACACAGATGTACCCACAACACGGATACCCCCACAACACAGATGTACCCACAACACGTATACCCCCACAACACAGATGTACCCACAACACAGATGTACCCACAACACGGATACCCCCAGAACACAGATGTTCCCACAACACGGATGTACCCACAACACGGATACCCCCAGAATACAGATGTTTCCACAACACAGATTACCCACAACACTGATACCCCCAGAACACAGATGTACCCACAACACGGATACCCCCAGAACACAGATGTACCCACAACACGGATATCCCCAGAACACAGATGTACCCACAACACGGATGTACCCACAACACAGATATACCCACAACACAGAAGTACCCACAACACGGATACCCCCAGAACACAGATGTACCCACAACACAGATACCCCCAGAACACAGATGTACCCAGAACACAGATGTACCCACAACGCAGATACTCCCAGAACACAGATGTACCCACAACACAGATGTACCCACAACACGGATACCCCCACAACACAGATGTTCCCTCCCAGAACACATGGATACCCCCAGAACACCCACAACACGGATGTACCCACAACACGGA